CATAGCTGCTTTGGGTTGTCCTTTGGACAGGAGTGCAGCGCCATAGCTGCTTTGGGTTCTCCTTTGGACAGGAGGGCAGGGCCCTCAGTAGTCCGCCATAGCCTATGCAGGAGAGAGGAGGCAGAAGGAGGGAAGCCATAGCTATGGTGGACTTGTTGTTGTTGTTGTTGTTGTTGAGTCAGCAGCAAGAGGGAACTTCGGATATTGATTCTGGTTCATCCATTCATTGTTATTATTATTATTGAGAGAAGAATAAGATTGGCGAAGTGAAGGAGGAGGAGGTAGCTCAGTTGGTTACAGCAGTCGAATCTCACCTGGCAGATACCGGGATCGAACCGCATGTGCAAAAAAAAAAAAAGAAATCATAACTTCTGGCAAAAAAAGCACAGACAAATTGACAGACTCCTATAAATAAACAGATAAACTAGCTAACAAGACCGCTCAAGCGGTTGGCCACATAGGGAGGGAACAGTACTACTCTTATCGCCCACCTTTCACATCCCGGTGACCCTAACCAACCTCCGCCCGCCAATGACTCCTCCAAATTATCTGAATACGTCAAGATCCTTTACGAGCACCTCCTCACTTGTGAAAAGGACCCCAACTCTCCATAATCCCCATCCCCACCTAGAGAGTCTATGCTGGCACTGCACACACACCGGCTCCTTTCAGACAATGCAGCCTCTACCTTGGAAAACCCCATCACAGACAATGTCTGAGCTAACACCTAGCTGTTAATCATGATAGCATGGCCAAGGGCAAATGGCCTGACGTGGCCCGGACGGCCTTCCTGTGGAATTCTACCTTCCCTTCTGGTCCCTCAGCGCACCAGACCTCCTAAGAATACTCAATCGGATCCTCAAGGGCGATCTCCTTGGTCCGCACCCGGCCGAGGGTCTCATCAACCTACTTTACAAAACTGACTGACGTCAGAAATTACAGACCTATTTCCGTCCTCAATGTCCATGGCAAGATCCTAGCTAAACCGTTTGCCCGTCGAATCAACCCGCTTCTTAATGAACTCGTACATCCCGACCAATAAATCCGGCTTCATACCGGGCTTGATAAGTACTCGACAATGTTATAATGATATCGCAATCTATTGACTGGATTAACTACCACAACCTAAATAAAGTAGTGGTCATTCTCATTGATTTTCGAAAGGCCTGTCTAGTGGGGAACATTGTCAGCTACGGTGTACATACACGTATGCTACGGGGGGGGTACTCCTGAAACAGGAGATTGGGATCCTGGTGGGGAAAAGCATGAGCCCCCCCCCCCCCCCCCCCCCCATTTGCATGCATTATGTGTGCGTACGCTGAGTATAGGTTCTATCGCAAGCTTGGGAATGAGTCGCAGACATGTGTTTGGGGTCAGAGACGAGTCGATGGTGTTACCCCCAAAGTTTAACCCCCAATGTTTAAGTTTAACCCCCAATGTTTAACCCCCAAAGTTTAAGTTTAACCCTCAATGTTTAAGTTTAACCCCCAAAGTTTAACCCCCAATTCTGGCGGCCTTACCGGCAGATGAGGTTAAGCAAATTACCCGAATGTTGGGTCTTGCTTGCTACCCAAAAAAAATGGATAGGGGACAGCCGATGGGTCTTTTGGTGTCTTTCACTTCCCGGATGTGTGAAATGAGAGTTGGTAGCGATTTTCCACACGTGGGAAGTGTCTTTTCCGACAGACTTCTGAAGTGGTTTGCGTCAAGGCGAGATGAGCTTAAACTTTGGGGGTTAAACTTAAACTTTGGGGATTAAACTTAAACTTTGGGGGTTAAACTTTGGGGATTAAACTTAAACTTTGGGGGTTAAACTTTGGGGATGAGACTTAAACATTGGGAGTTAAACTTTGGGATAGGACGTATGACTTTGTGAGTGGAATCAGGAATTAATGGACTGTGCCTAATATCCCCGGAGTATGAGTATTCACACAGGGATTCGTGTCAGATTTTTTAGGACCTATGGTCAGACAGGCTGCCGCAGAGAAACGGGCGGGCAAGGCGCCGCCTTGGTGGTGTAAGAAGTACCAGCTTCAAGCAAATTTGTGCTCTCGTGTGTGTACCCGGAATCGATCCGTGTACTAGGTGGCGTGGTGTGGTGCTACCAGGTTTTTTCCAAACGGTACGGGACTGGGCCCAGTCAGAACTTTGGAGTCGAACTTTGGATACATTTTTGGTGTGTACAATGTACTTAGCAGTTGGACTGGACTCGATCTCGGGAAGGTTTCCCGTTTTCGAGTCCAGATGAGTGCGTTGTTTTGAGGAAGCTGTTGGTGTTTCGTTTGAATTGTGGGACAGGAGTAGATAGGAAGGGAGGGACGAAGAGTTCATCCTCACTCCGGTCAAACGTACGCTGGGAACCGGCGCATCCAGATGCGTCGGGCGAACAGGGACGGGAGCGGCTTTGGGGACCGATGGAGAGTCAAGTGGCGAACGCCAGCCAGTGGAACCCCCCCCCCCCCCCCCCGAGGAAGACGGCGTGGTGCCCGTCGGAATGCGACGTCGGGGGGGGGGGTGGTGTCGCGGGGGTACGCTTATGAAACTATCCTACCTTGTCCTCCGCCATGTGTGCAACATTTCAGGGTGTAATGCAATCTGTGATGTGCGTGTAAAGCTCCATCACCATTACCAGGGCAACCATCCTCCGTAAGGACCGTAACCTTTCTTTCTTTTTTTTTTTGGATCAAATGTTTTTTTCCTGAATCATCTGAAGATTCTGAACCTTTTTTTTTTTTTTTT